ACTCTATAGATGATTCATTATGTCTGTGGTAGTTAGAGAGAGAGAAACACATCAATCGAAATGAAGACGGGCAATAAGAATGCGTTCAAAGGTTTTACTGAAAACACTAGTGAGGCTGATAAGACAATAAGAATTAACATCAGAGGCAGGTTTACCTGGTTTCATAAAAGCAGTATAATGGATAACTTCCAGGAACCTGGAAAAAATCCTGAGGAAAGAAGAAAGGTGTAGAACAATGCAAGAAGTCGAAGGAATTGCAGAAGGGCATGACGGACTTGGCAGTATGTGATGCCATCAGGACCAGTGGCATTGTTACATCTGTTCTTCAGCACCCGCCGGACATCAGCTGCAGTAATGGGAGCATGTAAGATATCATCGTCAACATCATAGAAAGATCTAGGAGTAAGGTCAACGAGGGAGGCAATAGTTGGGTTAACGGTGGTTGTAGTGTCACTGTAGTCAAGAATATGACGTTCCTGTACCTGAAAGTTCTGTTCATGAAAAGCAGCAAAATGGCTGGCCTTGTCCAAAGATGTAGAAGGTGCAGCACCATTAACAAGAATAAGATAGGAGGGAGCCATCATAAGACGTGGCATATATCATAATAAGAACTAAATTTCAAACATATAGTTGGTGTGAACGTGCTTTATAGTCACTATGAGAAAAACCTATACACTGGATAGGTGAAGTGAAGAAAAAGTGTCTTTGACTACTACTCAGTTCTTTACATTATATAGTCACACAACAGAAGATATAATAAATAAACTTAGTATTCCGAAAATTGTTTAATCTCGAAGTCTAAGTTCAAGGGAGGTCCAGTTCAACCTACACTTTGATCAACGTGTGTTATTGGGTTATAATAGTTTCGGAGAATTCCACTCCTCATTAGTAACCCTGAACACAAGTTAACCAAAGAGAGATAAGCTGGACCAATAAAGCACGTTCACACCAACAGTATGTTTGATACTTTTCACTATGATATACGATTCACTACGATAATTTTCGGAATACTAAGTTTATTATTAAGAAGTACATTTACCCGAGAAAAAAAAGAATATACTACTTAACCTCCTCATAAACTGTAAACGATATATATATATATGAGTAATGTCTTTAATATTTTATTTTTTCTTCCAGTGGCGACTCGTCAGTTGTTTGTTCTAGATGAACAACATCCCCTGCTGAATGTTCCAGTGGAGACTCGTCAGTTGTTTGTTCTAGATGAACAACATCCCCCTGCTGAATGTTCCAGTGGCGACTCGTTAGTTGTTTCTTCTAGATGAACAACATCCCCTGCTGAATATTCCAGTGGCGACTCGTCAGTTGTTTCTTCTAGATGAACAACATCTCCCTGCTGAATGTTCCAGTGGCGACTCGTTAGTTGTTTGTTCTAGATAAACAACATCCCCTGCTGAATGTTCCAGTGACGACTCGTCAAGTTGTTTCCCACGTCAATGTTGTTCCCACTTATGTCCTCCAGTGTGTTAGTGCTTAACGCTAAAATTGGAGGTTCAATTCCCCGTGGTGTACAGAGTGAAGATACTCTATTGTAAACATTTAAGCCGAACGTATTTTTATCATTAATTATTTTTTGCTGTAATAATCTATAAGAGGGTAATAAAATATTAATTAATTAATAAAACTAAGATCACGAAGTAATATTAGGCAAATGTTTGAATGTTTAACAAAGAAGTCAGAAGTAGGCTCTATAGTGACAAAGTTGCGGGACGTGACGTACGTCTCGACTTCAGTTGGTTGAAAATGAAGTCACGTATAGCGCGTGGTTCACGTTTTAAAAAAGGTCACCCGCTGTCAATGATTATCAGGTTGGTAACCGTGTGTTAATCATTATCTCAATAAACAGAAGAAAACTTGAAAATATAATTTCGAACACTGTACTATTAGAAAAAATTTATATATCTGAAATATTTAACGTAGCAAAATTTTCAGAGAGCTAAAACGTGTAACTGCACTAAAATTAGTGCTAATAAAAAACAAAATTTTGTTTTAATTCTAGCTTTTAAAAAAATCACTTTTCAAAGATGTTGCACAATCTTACATTTCATTTTGTTTAACTAAAAAAAATCAATAAAACAATGCCATAAAAATACTAAATTGATGAATATATTACGTGACTATTAGCCGAAAACGCTAAATGTGTTCTTGTGAGGGATCTCCAAGTTAAGATGAAGCTCTGCATGACCATAAAATAAATTTAAACGTTAATATTATTCTAAATAATAAAAATAATTCAGATATATTAACTGCCAAGTAATTGTATTTAATTTTTGGATTAAATAATTTAACAATGTAACAACAACAAAAAAAAAGAGTTCACTTTGCGGCAAATCGCAAAGCATATGTTTCTCTGTAATTTAAATACCCCCCGGTAAGATTACAGATTCGCAAGGCTAAAATCTGGGGTTCGATACCTTGCAGTGGAAAAAGCCTAAACAGACAACTGCGTAGCTTTTCGCTAAAAAAGAAAATACAAGAAAATAGGAACTGTATTTAAACTGCCCTCTACAAACCATAGGCTTCTGTTTTTGTTCCGAAGGTAAACTGTTGCTTAGGCCTAATCATTAGTTCTAGTGAATAAACTTTAGGCTTAGAGGCAATGAAATTTCACTTTGGTTTTCAAGATAGGCTTAACAAAATGAGGATTATTGTACATGCTTAAAACATGATTTTCATTACTGTATTAGACCTAATGAATTTCTTTCTTTCTTTGCCAGTTTAGGCATTCTTACAGCATAGTGTTTCTTTTCTTTTTTTATGCGTATTAAACATTTAATCAAAGACGAAAATTAAAATCAACTGAGAAAGCTTTTTATTGGCAAGAAGAAAATGTTTCCATTACTTCGAAATATACCTAACTAATTTAGAGTAAACGCTAAGCCAACTTTAATACTGCGAAAAAACTAGAAAAGTGTACTTATTAATCAGATTATTTCTCAGTAAACGTATTGCAATCATTATTACTGTAGCCTCTTCTGTAAAGAGTAAAATTAATAAATGATTTTAATATTATTCTGATCCAGTTTATTTAAACATTATTGCTTAATAACTAGATGACAACTGAGATTATACTAGCAATGAATACTTAGTACCGAGTTTCGCATTGAAATATAAAAAATTCTGTTTATTCTAACATAAAAATTTGAATTTTATTACGTACTAGCTAAGGGTACCTGTTAAAGAAGAAAACACTGCACAAAGGATAATGTTCCATTTCCATTTTTTCTTTTGTCATCCCTATGGACCTCATTAGATGCTAATTGAATATTTTATTTATTAATTGACTTATTTAACTGATTAAGTACTCGTGTCTCTAAATTAAAAGCTATACGTTTTTTTTTTAAATATAAAAAATGGAAAATATGTCCTATTTCAAGGTGTTTTTTTATCATCATTCTCGGGCAAAATATCCTAAAATAAAATAGTCCATGTACCCCGTCCGACAGTTTCCAGTTACCATATAAAAATGATTGTACTCGAGCCAGGGTGACGTATGGTAGCACAGACATAATGAATCATCTGTAGAGTACAGTTACCATATAAAAAATGATTGTACTCGAACCAGGATGATGTATGGTAACACAGACATAATGAATCATCTATAGAGTACAGTTACCATATAAAAATGATTGTACTCGAACCAGGGTGATGTATGGTAAAATGCTGGAGTCCCACAAGGTTCTGTGTTGTCTCCCCTT